TTTCAAACATTAAGCCACAAATGTAAAGCTAAAGTTCAGATGGTAGAGATCACCTCAATGCTAATTAGCCTAGTGGAGTCATTTCCTTTACAGGGTTCCTACAGACTTTTTGAAAGCCACTTGAAAGGAAATTTAAGACAAACAATAAACACACAATTACCACAATTGTTATCGACAATTTTAACCCAAATGTTTATTTTAACACAAAAAAACAAGCTGTGAGAGGCATTCTGTAAATTATTTCAAAAAGTAAACAAATGTTACCAGTTATTTTAATATTTGAGATGAATTACAATCCTATTAACAATGTGTTTACATTTTTAAGGCTTCTGAAAGATTGATTTAAGACATTTTAAGGTTAATTAAGGTCTTATTTTTGGATTGATGAATTCAATGCTTTTAAGACTTTTTAAGGATCTGCAGGAACATTTAATGTGTTTGTACCTGCAACATCAGGACCACGGTTTTCACAGTGTTCCACTGAGACTTCCTCCCATCCACAATAACGGTGAAACCTCGAGTTTTACATTTCTCACTGAAAGTAACAAGACACATATAAACATTACTGACTGTGAACAAACCACAGCACTGTACAGAATAAAACTGATTTATCTCAGCAAAATTACTCCTWTTCTACCAAACMRTGTGTAAATTAAACGTGTCCAGTTTCCTAGGTTGTATTCTCTGGAGATGTTTAAGAGAGTTTACAATCCACCTGCTTTAGACATGTTTWAAGTGTTTCTTTACACTTCCTACAACAGAGTGGTTATGAAGGGGAGGGTGTCTGAACACAAGGAAAAACATAATGCAAAGAGTATAGAAATCCATGTGTTATCTTTACACTGTTTATTAAAACAAAATATGGGTGTAAATGATTATTGTTGCTCTAATATTTCGACTACAAGCATCTGGACCGACTCACAGTAAAGAGGAACAAACATTAGTTGATCAGCAACTGTTCTCACAAATCATTCATTCATCCACAGTKTATCAGAAGATTAGTAGTAAACTGTCTCACCTGCAAAAAGTGTAAATATCTTACTGGAGTAAGAGTTCAAAAAAAGTTCAATGTTGTGGATATTTGCAATGTCATACTCTGTTCCTCCAAAATATCTCTAAAATATGTCAGGACTGCAGAGCAGGTCTAAACACAGCTTTAGACTTTACAAATAATATCTCTCACCTCAACTACACTACTCCACATATATTTAAACCAGKATTTTTCCATCCATTAAAAAAGACAATGAAAACCTTGACAAACTGTGAAATAATAAAATGCAAACATCCAGTGGTGGGCAGCGCTAATCCAAAAATTAGCTCCACAATTTCTAAAGCACTTATGAAAATATTTAGGTCCGCAACTTCAAAAACGCTTATGCCATAGAAAATTAGCGGACGCTAATTCTGAAGCACAAGTTCAATTTGACACTTACTAGCTGTTAACAATTGTACAATGTATGCACAACACTGCCAACTTGCGTTGTATGAACCCTTGTTCAACTTAATCCTACAAGCATCAACTGCTGGGGATGTGATTTCCTGAAACAGACCTTTGGCTCCTGGTGTAAAAATTAAAAAGTTGTTGAGGATTGCTAGTTCGGCTGCTTCTTTGTCTTTTTCTTTTGTTTGTTGTAGATTTTTCATTAAAGAAGCTTCAATAAAGCAATTTTTAAACTGTTTATTGGAAAACTGAAGCGATGCATTCTGGGTACATGACGGATTTGATTTGTGACGGGAAACGAAAGCACGGAGTTCAGGAAACTATC